ATTTTTGGATCACTTTTACGAAATTCACAGGTTTTTACACGAAAACGTTTTTAAACGATCGAAAATCCAAAAGTAACGTCATTTTTTAATTAAAATTGTGATTTTCAGAATTTTTCGCTTTATTTTGACAAAACCTTGTAATAAATAAATTTTACTGAAAAAAATGGCTGAAATATCAAGTTTTTTGTTTTGTTTACCAAAAATGTAGAAAAAACAGTGAATTTTCACCGAAAAATTCGAATTTTTTACTTAGTCTTTTTTTTGTCTATATTATGTAATTTTTTTGACATTTATTTTAAAATTTGAACAAATACCTTTTTGGTATTGATTTGATGTCATTTTTATTTGGTTTTCTTATGCAGTGTTTATATACTAGAATTAGTTAATTATTTGTTTTATTCTCTCGTAATAACTTTCTTTCTTTGAAATAAATTTCTTGTTTATTATATTGAAAAAAATATATATTGTGTGTCCTGAGAATACCAGCTTGTTTACGAAACTGGTAACAGTAAAAAATAGGGTCTTATAAAGAAATTAGTTCAATATTTTTCGTACAGTGTATTCAAATTTGAATAAAACAACAAAGAATTTTTTTGACTATTTCACGATTTAATAAATTTATATTTTAAATAATTCACTTATTTCTTAAAGATCATGTAGATATTTCGAGTATAATTTATAATTCTTAATTTTTAAAATTTTTTACAAAATAAAAAAATGTGTAGTAAAAAATGTTTATTTTTTTATGTTTTTGAAAATTAATTAAATACTGATCAAAATTGAATTATATATTTACTGATCGCTTTATTACTACCATTTTTACGTTCTGAAAATAATGAGATTTTCTTAGTTAAAAAAAAAACTGGACATGAAAATATTTTACCTAACAAGCAGTGAGATAATACAAATATTTTACTCTACTGATGTGATTTTCGTTTAATTTATGCAATATAGAAACAAAAAATTTTAAAATACATTTTAATAAAGAGAAACTAGAATTTATTTTTTTTTAGTTTCTGTCTAATTGTATCATAAATGCAAAAAAATTACATTACATTACAAACTTGTGGTTTTTATTCGTTTTTTTATTGACATTTTAGTTTTCTAAATTTATTTCAGCTTCTTGAGGCGAGCCTTTGCAATAAATTGTGCTCCACGCCACTTTACGATACGAATCAATGCTGTCACAAACGTTTTACATCTTGTCGAAATATTTTAGCTTTAAATTTATGTCACAAGTGTCGTTCTTTGTTCTACACTTTTCGAATAAATTTTAAATGTTTTCCTAATTTGATAAAAAAATAATCTGCTCTGACTCCGCCAGAAAACAGAATAACAAATAACGAGAAGTTACTGACAAGATTTTCTCTTAATCTCATTTCCGTAAAAGAAATTTTTAAACAAGATATCAAATTAATTTTATCAGTGTTCGTTATAATTTGAGTAAACAAGAAGAGGCCTTATTTTTATTTCGAAGTAAAAAAACCGACACAACTTCCTCCTTTCTGTCTACCTTCCGTTTCCTGTCGCTAATAATTTTTGAACCAAAAGAAAAAAAAAATATTTCAAAGCTTTTTAAATTTTAAGTTAACCGTAATTAGTAAACCCTAATTCCATTAATCTTATTATACAATTTTCGTTCAAGCAAACACGACCAGAAACATAACTTTACAATCCATTCAAAATATAACTCAGACTTAAATTATTGATGATGAAAAAAAATTTTTAGTATTCCAAATATAGAAGAGTTGATAAATCTGTCTCTACCGGAGACATGCAAAGCTTCGTCTAAGAGGGATTTTTATTGTCAGAGGCTGTGAACCAACTGTCAAAAAGTATTATGTGCTTAAGTGAGCAAAGCTACTGAAAATAAAAATTGAAAAGTGCTTTAAAGATGTTGAAAACTCGTTTAATTTCAATTTCCGCTCTGTGAAAAGTTGCAAGTGCAACCAAATTCTTTTTACTTTCTGCTACTTTGATAGAGAAATTAATGCATTTAAAGGCTTTGATATCTTTCTTAAAATTTTGTAATATTTCAGAAACCTAATTACGCTCGTACTCTGGACGGTAATCAAAGTTCGTGTAATAAAAAGCCTTTCAGTATTAACTCATGAAATTTATTGAAAGTGTTTTGTTCAAAACTTGGCAGACTAAAGATTAAATTTGTTTCGTTCTTCTTTCAACTCCATCCCCGTAACCAAGTACAATCAGCTTCCAAAAAAGGCAAAATTTTGTTATACAGGGGGTCCCAGCGAGTTGAAAAAGTCCTTTAAATGGTGAAATAAAAAAAAACATTTTTTTTTGTTTCTTTGCATTTTTGGATGTAGCTTTTTGTTGTTACGCTAAACTTTTATTATTTTATTTTGCTTGGTTTTAGAAATAAGCCGTTTTTTTGACGGAAACATCCACTTTTTAAAAATTTATTACACAAAAACTAAGACAGCTAGAACAAATTTTTTCTTACTTCTGCAAAAAAGAAAGTATAGAATTTAAAGCTGTAGCAATTTTTTAGTGTTTTGCATTTGTAAAGATAAAAAAATTAAGAAGTTTGTTAAAAGTTAAATACCTTAAAAAATTTTAATGGAACACCCTAATTTTTATTTTTGCATCTAATAGATTGATAAATTGTCTATCTAAAAAAATTAACTTTTAATGTCTAGAATTGATAGATGAAAAGATATTTAACATTCAATATTAATTAAAGGGGTGAGTAGATAAAGTGTTATGTAAAATTTTAAAAAAAACTGGTATTTTCTGTTAAAACAATTTTTTCCGCAATATTCTTTTATTGAAAAAGACTTTTAAGTGTTGGTTTCAATTAGGAATGAAATTACCAAATGCTAAAGGCGTTATGTACAACTTGGATTGTTGAATAAACAGTGGATAAAGGTGTTAAAATATGTTTAAATAAATAAA